ATATAATTTTAGGCATTTTTATTTTTAATAAAAATATCTAAATAGTCATTTTATAGTTTTTGTATTTTTATTAATAAAAAAAAAAAAAAGAGCAAAAGATAAACTAAAAATTTTTTTTTTAAAAAAAAGAACAACAAAATAAAAAATACAAACAAAAAATCCAATATAATCTTTTATAATTTTTATATTATTTAAAGATATTTAGTTTTTTAACTTAAAAATATAAATTTAAGCTTTTTTTTTTTAACTTATAAGTTGAATTTGTTAAAAAATGCTTTATACTATGTTTAACTGAAATTATATAAAATTTAGTAGCAATATTTGTAAAAAAAACATGTATTTTATTAGTTATTTTAATTTTTTTATCAAAACTTTGAAGATCTGTAATGAAAATGTCAAGTTTGCAATAATAATATTTGTTGCAGATATTTATAGTTTTATGTAATTTGTTATAAAAAATAAAAAATAAATTTTATATCTTAAAGGCCAGTTTATATATAAAATAAATATAATGTTTAAGGATAATTTAGGTTTATTATTTTATAAATGATAGAAATTTTGTTATTATATGCATTTGTTATAATGATTTAAGATAAAATTAGAAACTAAGCTATATTATTTGATATAGAGATTTTGTATTAATATAAAAATAAACAGAATAAATTGTTTTAATCAAATAATAAATGTTTTTTAATTTAATTATTTTTTTTATTTAAATTTTTATTTTTTTTATTTTTAAAAAAAAATTTGAAAAATAAAATATGTTTAGAAATAATTATAACTTGTTGTAATTGCTTATTATAAATATTTAAAACATTTTAAGTTTTTATTAAAACACTTTTTATTGCAAAAAGAAGAAGAGAGAGAAGAAAAATACATTTATATAGTTTCTATTTTAAAGTATGATTATTATATATGTTTGTTACATTAATTTGAAGCTAAACAGGATTATAGCTATATTGTTAATATCGAAGATATCAAAAATTCAAGTACTTCAAATCATTATAATAATAAACAGAATGAATATTGTTTTTTTTTTTTTATAGTTAAAGTCCCTGTCTTGGAAATGTGATATTTTTATTTAAGTATATTAAAACACAGCATGCTACCAGAGGCTCACCTTATATTGGAAGTTACAACTAGCTACACATGCACTTTTGATATCTAATTTTAAGTAGTTTGCTTACACATTGTTATATAAGTTTTACACTAGTTGCATACCTGCAAGCCAACTAGGAGTTTTGCTTATTTAAACTCTCTGTATATGCAATTTTTCTTGTATTATAAGAACATCTTAAGGCTAAACTTATCCAAGTTTCTGATGCTAGTTGTTATCCTTAGAACTAATTTATCCTTGACAAGAAACTTACTAGAGCCTTTATATTCTATACATACAGACCTAGTTTTATACAACATACTATAGTTATCTGACACTTGCAGTTATAGTAGTTACTTGTTTAACTGTTACATTACATTATTTATACTTTTGTAAAGTTTACTAGAATCCTAGTATCTATTTTCTTGACATCTTCTTTATCATTCTCTACTAGCCACAACTTAGAACTGGTAGTCTCTTCCAAACTACCAATTCAGATGACCCAGTATGATATACTTCTGTATTCTTTTCTTCTGGTGAATCTGGCAACCTGATTGGTTATATGCTATTCTATATATATTTGATGTTTGGTTTAACTTTCAGTTTCTATGAAGGTGTTTTGTGGGCATCAACTAGTCTAATAGTACTGTCAAAAGTTCATACTACCTCTTTACTTAGGAATTTCCAAGTGGATTTCTGTTATCTTAGTTCTTTAGTCTTCTATGTCTAGTGGTCTTATTGTGAGTTTGCATTGAAGTCTTATGCAATACCAGTTATACATTTCTCTATATATATATAATGTTATACTTTACATAGATGTCCTGAGCTCTTAATATTGGTAGGACCCAACTTGGTATATCTGGGTTACAGCCACATAAGGCCAACTAATTGACAAAAGACAGTTACTATAATGCAAATATAATTTTCAAATTTTGTTGTAAGTGGGATTTGAATCTTAGACCTACTACTTGAAGAATGACAACCCAACTACTATACTAGAATTACCATCCTCTTAAAATGAATATTATAATAAATATTTATTATTATTATTATAATTATTTTATTATATTTTAAAGTTATTTTGTTTATAAGATTTAACAAAAATAAAATCTTGATTAGAAACAATCTCAACTTGTTAAAATTATTTATTATTAAAATTGTGGTATTTGTTATATTATAGTAAATAAATTAATAAAAAAATGAAGCTTGGTTCTTTTTGAAAAATAAAAAAACATAAAGCATCATCTAAAATAAAAATAAGAATATAAAGTTTGACAATTTTCTGGCTAGATGCTAAGAAAATTGTCTGTTTATTTTATTTTGAATTTATTAATTATTACAAAATATTATATAACTTTAAAATTTTTACATTAAAATTTATATTCAAAATTATAATATAATTTGTATTAAGTAATTAGAAGATGAAAGACCTAATTAAAAATATATATCAAATATTAATTCATATTTCAAATGTTTTTTTAAATTTAAAAGATAAAATTAATCCTATTATAAGTATATATAAGTTTAGTAAAGTAAAAAAAACTTATTGTAAGCAAATAAAATTTATAAAAAATTTTTTAAATTTGATTTAAAAAAAATATAATAAAATTAATATAAATACAAAGTATTTATGAATATGGTTCCCAAATACTTTGTTTAAAAAAATTAATTTATATAATGATTTTTGTATATATTAATTCTAATATTATAAGTATAGTAGTATTTATTAATTTGAATCATCTCATAACTATATATTGATTATAATTTATATATAACCTAACACAATTCTAATTATTTTTGATTATATATTAATTATAATTATCTTAAGTTATATATTGATTTATATTCTTTTTATTATATATTGATTAATATTACAATCATTATAAATTAATAAGAATAATTTATATTATTATATATTCTTTAATTACTAATTAATATATAACTTTTTATGAGATGTGTTGACCTAGTGAAGTGGTTAGGTTGTCAATTCTCAAGTGGCAGATCTAGAATTCAAATCTCATAGATGATGAATTTTGAAAAATAAGAGCTGTGTTACAGTAACTATCTCTGTCAATCGGTTGGATTTGTGTATCTGTAACCTTTGTTGCACCATCTTGAATAGAAGATCAGGGCATCTATGCAAAGTGTAATATTACACCTATATAGAGAAATATTAATAACTGGTATTGCATAAAACTTTGATGCAAACCCACAATAAGACTACCAGACATAGAAAGCAAAGGAACTGAAGAGTCAAAAACCCACTTGGAAATTCTAAGTAAAGAGGTAGCATGGACTTTTGATAGTATTACTGAACTATCAGAAGCCCCCAAAAAATGATTACTAGGACCTCAGATGGATCAGATGACAATATGTATAGAGAAGTATATATCAACCAGACTACTGGGTTTGCCAGATGGGCCATCTGAATTGGTAGTTTGGAAAGTCTTGTAGGTCTTGTAGGTCCAGAAGTAGAGATATGGAAGTTAGGAAAGGATGGTATTAGGGTCCCTGTGAACTTTACAAGGGTATAGCAGTTTAATGGTTAACTCTAACTGCAAGTGATGGTTTAGGCCAGAACAGTACTAGGTCAGCTATAAGTATAGGATACAGAAGGCTCTGGTGAGCTTAGTATAAAGTTAAATATGACTTAGTGACCATGGTATATTTGTAGCAATGATTGCAATTAATAGGGTAGGAGTGGATACAGGAACTAGAGTGTTTAAATAGAGAACCCACAGGTGGGTTCTGAGTATGGCAGCTAATATAAAACCTTCTGGCAGACTACTTAAAATAGACAATGACTAAAGTTGTATAAATGGCTAGTTGTATACTCTTTTCATGATTGCCTCTGTAGCTGTTGTACACAATAGCTATATGCTGAATAATTATCAATAAACTCCTGGGTTGCAATTACTTACCTTAACATTAAAAAAAATATATATATATAACTTTTTATATTTTTTTTTGATAAAGAAAAACAAATTAAAAAAGAAATAATAAAAATAATATTAGAACTTGTCATAAAAGAAAGAAGACCCTTCCATTATGACTTTAAGTAATCAGACAAGCAGTTTATTTCTGTTTGAAGTAATGTAACAGAGTGCACTTAGGTATCATTAAGGTGATCAGGTGATACTAGACTTAGGTATTAGGAATATTTATATAATTACAAATGTAATTTCAAAATCTTAATAAAGTACTAGTGTAACTGCTTATAATTAAATAAAAAATAAAAAATCAATTTAGTAACAATATTTTGTGACCCAGTAATCAAAACTATATGATTTTAATACTAATTGATTTATAGATGCAATCCGTAAACTATTAGTTAATCTAAATAAACTGTAGTTTTAAAGTAAACTACAGTTTATTTATATGTATTGTAATTTACGGATCACATCTCTAAATTGATTTATCTTGATAAGACAAATCAATTGGTACCAAAATTATACAGTTCTAATTGAGATATTAAAACTGTGCTATAATTGGTAGTACGCTATAATAACTATCCTCACTTTATTTTTTTAATTGTTTTAGATATCTTATAAAGTAAAAAAAATTATAAAAACACTATAAAAATAAACTAAATTAGCAACAACTAATAGTTAAATAATTAAATATATATACAAAATTATTCGAATTAAACAGAAAACAGATATTATATTATTAGTAAAATTAAAAAATAAAGTTTAAAATTTTTAATTTTTATTTAAATGCAAATTATAAATATGTTCTATAAACCATTATAACAATTACATTATTACAGCTATTGCACCTACAGTATTACAAAAAAAAATTACAATTTTAAGACAAAAGGTTGCAATCTTTTAACTTTAATAAACCTATTATAACAGGCAACTTTAGTTGTAATAATAATAATTGTAAATAAATAAATCTTTTTTTATTTATTATTTTCAAAAAGATGATTATTACATTTCAAACATTCATCTTCTAACTCTTCAACAACATTAACCTCAATTCCATTTTTTTTTAAAATATCAATTCCTTCACATTTAACAAATTTATCAGGTTCTTTAATGCCCAATACAACTCTTGAGATTTTGCTTTCAATAATCCTTTCAATGCATGGTTTATTACCTGATAATCTTTTACTACACGGCTCCATGGTTGTAAAAATTGTTGAATTCTTGGCTTGTAATGGATCTGATAATTTCTTTAATGCACACTCTTCAGCATGTGTATTTCCAGGCAGTTCACGTGAGTATCCTGTAGAAAGAACTATTCCATTCTTTACTATTACCTTTTTTTTTTTTTTTACAAACAATTAAATAAACTTGGATCAAAAAAAAAAAAAGTACAATAGTTAGCAAGTAAATAGAATAATGTACCGCACCAACACAGTATGCTGTTGGAATTGGATTAGAGAGATTTGCTTGTTCAATTGCAATTCTCATAAAACCTAAATCTTTTTATATAAAAAGATGAATAATAAAATTTTATTAATATAAAAAAAAGTTTCGATTAGAGATGCAGGTGAAACTGTCCAAATGAACCGTACACACAACTGCAGTTGCGGTAAAAACCGTATGAATCCCAAATGCCGTATGCCATATGAATTAAAAATACCATATCAATAAATTTGATATCTATCGCTATGGTTAGTATTTGTATTTAATTAATCAATACTGAAATCAAAATATATGTAATTATTAGATACGTATGAAGTATATATGTTACGGATCAAGTTGGTTTTTAGGTCAAGCATCAACACAATTCCGGCCCGCACTAACCCTAAAATTCTGCTAAGGGCCATTTTAACCCGGTCAAGTTTAAAAACAAACTTGACCCGTAACATATATAATTAATATATTAAGGGAATTGATATTTCCCCTCCTCTTTTGATAATGCCACGCTCCTGCTAATAATTTCAACAATAAGCATTATCAAAAAAGGATGTGTAAACATCAATTTTCTATATTAATCAAGGATATAACAAAAATAGTTTAATATTTTCTTGAAATTATTGTCTAATAACGAAAGTTTTTTCTACAATGAATATGAACAAAGTCAATTCGGTTCTAAATAATGATAGTTCATATTTCTCATTATCGGAATTAAATTATAATATCAATCAACTTTTTACATGTCAGCCTTCTACTTCCAAACAACTATCAAAACCATCTCAAAAGCGAAATGAAATTTATTACATTTCAAGAAGCTGCTGATAGTCATAAGAAAATAAAAGTTTCGATATATAAAATTAAGTTATGACATGTAAAAAAGTTATAAAGTGAATAATTAATTCGGCATATACACAAGTTACGGCACCCCGTAACTAAGCAAAAAGTTATAACTAGTTATAACTCAGTTATGTTACGGCACATCCCAATGCTTCAAGTTCCGCCTGCACCTCTAGATTCAATTATACCTGAATTCGGAGATTGAGACGTCATATTAAGAAAGCTGTAATGAATTTAAAACTTCGATAAGTCTTATTTGAATGCGTAAGAATGAAAACCTGAAACTTGATTTTTTACCAGGAACGGAGTACGAAAACGTATCAGTAATACAGTCAGGTATTTTACACGATATAGAAATGATCTGCAATATACTAAGAGGTTATTCTAAAACCGGTTTTTATCTAAAAATAACTCAGCTTTAAAAATGTAGTCTAGGATCCCTGAGG